GGAACTAGGGTAAACCAAAGTCAATGCTTTTCACAAGATCTTTCTTCAGGCAGTGAAATTTGGAGAACGGGCAAAATACCCGCCTTGCAGGGAAAACATTCCTTCATAGTGCTGACGGTGTTACTCTATAAATTGACTCTGCAGGAGTCCCCCGTCACCACTTCATAGACGTCATAGGATATTCAATTGACAGTTTATGGATGCAATTGGGTTTGAGTGACTGGCAAAGGATGTTCTTTATTATCAAAAATGCAAAATGATAATAATAAATAAATAAATAAATAAATAAATAATACCTGAAAGGCCCACAGTGCGGTGACGGCTCTATCAGCACCACGGCATAGCCTGTTGGAAACGTACAGAGAAACAACATCACCAATACCAGGAAGAAGTAGAAGTTGTTCGATCTGGACGCCCTGAATACTCTCTCGTGAGGTATGTTACATACTAGTACGGCCCAGCTCCGGACGTAAAACAAGATAAGCAGCTTTAGAATATTCACTGCAGGTAAGGCAGGCGCGAAGAACGTTCCCATCCTGAAAATGATTCAAGTTAAGGTTATTACAGTCAGGTTCCTGTCCCCAACAGTTATGGTATATACTGTGAAAAAAACTGTGTTAATGTTAAAGCTGCTTAAAGAGGAACACGGCCCGCAAAATGTTCCAAAAAAACTATTTTTATGCCGTTTTCGTCTGTTTTGAACCGTAATTCCTGAAAGACAATTGCACCATTTCCTTCCATTCAAAAAACGTTTTTTAAACGCTTTTCACAGTTCAGTTTTGAAGTTCAGAAAGGACAATTACGGCATATGAGCTCCATAAGTTGAAACAGTTTTTTAGGATTTTTGATCTACAGTGTATACCCTACCATATCATCCCTTGATTATAGATCACGTGCAGCACATTTTCTGCTATCTTAAATTCCCCGTATTCTGGCTATAATGAAAAATAAACAAGTTAAAACGGAGGCTAGTACGTAAACGAATTGATTTTCAAATTATAATAATAATTCAGATTTTTAGGAATTTTAAATATAGACTTCATGGTATGAAACGTATTGCTTTGTGTAAAGGTTTGTGACAATTAAAATTTTAGAACAACTGCAAACCATGAATTGAAGATTCATGAAGCCGATATGTCGATCTTTTGTAGTCAAGTGGCCTATTCTTTCCAATTAATTGACGTCTAATTTGTGTGTTTGGCCATTTCTCACTATTTTAAAAGTAAAAGATAGAGGGGAATGATTCATATGTTATACAATGTACTCGAAATACTCACAAATTTCCGTTCAAGATCCCAGCAACAGCAGAAGTTTGCGTATCTCACCACAAGACCACGGAAGAAATCGATCACTAATATTCCACCAACTGTGGTCAACAGGTCAAACACGGTCAACTTCACCATCTCCTGTTCAATTGATCGAATGAAAAGATTTTAAAAATCTGTCATGCAATTCCATCTGAAATACTTTGTCTAAGTATACACACGTAGGTGTTAATATAGGCCTTCTGACAAGATAAATATTTGTCAGCTTCTCATCGTCATAATTTCCAAAAGTTCATATAAAAGACTGCGATACAAAATGCATCAGTTCAACACAATATCATTAGTAACAGGCACCCTGACTTATCCAACGCGGACACTCTACCCAGCATACGTTCTCTGATGTCACACGCTAGAGTTATTAGTTAGGTTTCCAACAGACTCTAAAGTTTCTGTCACGCCTAGCGTAAGGTGGTATGTATAAGTATCGTAAAAAAGATTTTGCGCGCAAATTTGAGACTATGAAATCACCCCGTTTTCAGTTTATTAAAAGGAAGATACCAAAAAGCGTAGGAAATTGTTTTTCATCATGTTCAATACATATCATTCTCTCCGGGTATGAGAGTGCACAGCAACGTTTGCGTGCGTTCTTGAGACGTATACGACGTAAATCTAACGAACCCCTTGCTTTTGTCTGCGTATGGTTAATTTTTCTTATCGTAGGTGCTATGTTTTTATGCTTTTTTCGCCTGAAAAAACACCACAACTCACCTGCCCGACCATAGTCTCCCAACAGGTGTCTAACAGAACCCTCTGAGAGGCGGCAGCTTCGGCACAGGATGTGTTAAAGGTGCTTTCGTTCTTTTGGAAGCATGTTAGATTGGCCGCTTGCATGGACGAGACGTTATCGGCATACTGCTCTTTCTACAAGGCAATGGAAGACAGTTTTTTTCTGTTTATATTTTAAATTAAGTATTTTATATACCGCCCTCTTTGTTTGGTTTTTATGAATATTCAAACAAAAATCTGACAGATTTACGCAATATGAAGGGTATTTTAATTCAGCGAGATATCGTTTTCTCTAGAAACATGCATGGGGGTATTGCTTTAATTTTGGGATTTGGTTTCAAGAGCAAATTTTTGATGCAGTCACTTTAAGAAAGTTTTCATAAAAATGGTTTTGAAAGCAGTAATTTTTTTTTACTTCAGCGTATATCTTCTCATTCGCTTTACTTACCAGGAAATTAATCTTGTGGAACAGCGCAAAGCATAGCGTGTAAAGATTCAGCAGATACAGCACTAAAATCCTGGAGAATGAAATTTAGCATTAGTATTAAAAAGTAAATAATTCTGCACAAAGGCAATGCAAGTTAAAAATTTTAAAAGTTACAAACGAAGTCGTAATATCAAAGGAGAAGAACATACAGCGGCTTAGAATAAAAACTAGTAGAATGTTTCCGTCGAGCAGCAAGCAGAAAAAGTTTGCTGATCCGTCTAAGGAATCAAAAAATTTAATTAACATTTTCTGCTTTATCACTTAGACGAACGATGAAGTTATTTGCCTCACTACAAAAAATGTTAAATACCGTGGTTATTGACGGAACCAGATTATCAAACCCCTCTCCGCTCCAAATAAAACTTTAAAATTGCTGCAGTTAAAGGACCCTGTCGTTCTTCTGTAAGCCAAAGAGATGTTTGTCTGTCTCTTTAGAGAAGAGAATGGGTATGGGTCTGGCGTTTTTTATTTCACATTTGCATTTACCTTGCCAGCTGCCACCTGAGGTTGACCCGGGGGTGGTACTTTTCCATCATTCCAATCAGCTCAAACAGAGACGGGAAAAGCAGTGTAATCAATGACATCACAATGGCTACCTGTCGAATGACATCGAGAACTTTGTTTGATATCGCACAGCCAATGTATTTATGTTGCCTAAATCGCTCCAAAACCTATTATAAGTGATTGTGAATTACGCGACGTCAAGGGACGTTTTAGATTTGATTTAAAACAGTTTATTTTCAAAAAATAAAAAGGAAAAGGGCACTGGTTGCGCCACTCCTTATAACTGTGCATTTTGCGACGTTGAATTTTTTTACATTTAAAAACAAGTTACTGTCACAGTCTGCAGTTGAATGTCATTAGTCCAAAATGAAACGTAAAACATGTTTAATTTTGCTTTATTTAATTTTTTTACTGTAAATAAGATGTAAATTGAAAAATTAATAAGTTTTGCTGATATGGGTTATATATGAAATCAAGATCGAGCTGGCAAAACTAGAACCTAGGGTACGGAAGACGGCCCCTACCTCGTTTGCCTCCCACCAATTAACGGAATCGGGGCCTTGCTCTTTGACCTTCTGCTCGAAGTGCTGGGAACGCTCCACTACTAGGAATACAGTGTAGGCGCTGGCCCCCAGCACGGCCAGCACGAAGATGTTAGCCAGGATGCGGAGAAAAATGAGAAGGTACCTTACGTGGGTGAAAAAAATATAAAATCAATATTGTTTTCATTGCCACCTATCTATATATAAATGATGTTAGTTTTTGGTGAACGCTGTGAATACGAAAGGCCTACCCAACTACCAGACTCGGCACCGAATTATCCTGAATTCACCGGTAGATCGGACCACGCCACCCATTTTCAAGGTGTCCGTCAGTGCGCACTTCGAAGTATCAGACGCGACACCGCTCTCGCCTAGTACGCGATGTGATAGTGATGATTCTCAGCGGGGTTGGTAAGTAGTACATCTCATCTCAAAGTTCGTTCCGGGAAATGCGTACTGACACACCTTGAAAACGGGTAGTGTGGCCCGATCTACCGGTGAATTCAGGATCATTCGGTGCCGAGTCTGTCTTGACAAATATTTTAATTAAGGCGTTATATGATTCTTTAACTAATGCATTCAAATTGTCAACCTTGAAAGTATGAACTTTTCTCAATTACTTTTTACAGTATCTGGTGACCGTTTGGGAATTAGTTATTTTATACTTTTTGTAACTGTAACTATCTGGTATTTGTTACTGTTTGTTATCAGATATTTACCTGTTGTCTTCCTTTTTCTTCTCTTCTTCTTCTATTATTGCTTCCTGAATTAATGAAATTCAATAAAACGCTTTATCATTTTTAATATTTTTTGTTAAGCAATGCAAAAAAAAAAAAAATACAAATGATGTAAAAAATCGAAAGTCAAAATCTATTTTGAAAAAGATACTATGACATATTTTGGTTAAAGATTGCCCAGGAAATTATCAGTCACTCACACAAAAACTATTTAAATAAAATATTTAAATGGCAGGATTAGCTATATTCGATCTTTGAGCTGAAAGAGACCTTACCCTGAAGCTTGTGGCAATTGCAGCAAATTTGTTGTGTGCCGTTTCCGCGTTGCCAATCATGAAGTCCCATGTAGAGTACAACTTCCATGAAAACGTGTACTGATCACCTTTGGAGACCAACTTGCTCTCTCGGGCATTATGCGCCATCCTTGGGAACATTGATTAAAAAAATATGTGCTTGAATTGCAATTGCCTTCACTAAGAAACAGGCAGGAACGTATATTTTACGTCAGTTTTTTAATTGAAAAATAACGCAAAGTTCTTATGCATAGTTTAACCAAATCATAGAAAATAAAGAATAACTCTTACAGTCTGTAACAGACAATCATAATAACAATCTAAACAAATACGACTCTGCCTCAGAATTAAAGACAAGCACGTATCATGCTTAAATTGCCCTAGATAAAAGCTTATTTGGAAAAATATATAAAAGAAGAGCATACATGTACGTAACTGACCTATGTGAACTTGAAACGTGGACGGGGCTCGTTACATAAATTGACCAGAGGATATCTCGTGAGTTATCTTGAAACACTTATGAATTTTCATATAAATATTTCCCCCCAAAAAAACTCACTTTCTAAGAATGGTGACAAAGCTATAACCGTAGGTAGCCAATCCTACCAACAAATACGCCAGTGGCAGACGATACCAGCTACCAATGACTTTTTCGTTACCATAGTAACCATAGAATATCGGCGAATACTCCAAGTAGCCCTAAAAATAAGATTGTTCTTAATGCGCATGTACTCTACAGCAAAACGCCATATCGAGTAAATTAAAATCGATTTTCAAAATCATTCGAAAAGAAGAGTTGCTATTTCCAACAATCCTATTATCACTTTCTAATTAAACCGTTGAAATGAATAGAAATAATATTTCATTATTCAAAAGTTAGTTAAAAGTTAATATAATACAAGCGTTCCGTGATTTGTATTATACGCACGTCAAAGTTCCACAAAGTCTTCAGGTCCATGGCATGATCTGATTCTTCTGCTGGGACCGTTTTTCTAGCTGTAGAGCCATGTGGGTCTCCCAAGATGATCTGTGAAATTGAGAATTGATTGTGGAATATATGTAATAGCTCTGTAAGTATCATTTGCCATAGGGCCTATACAATGCAAGTAGCAACAAACAGTTTTTAAAGTTTGATTGCTTAAAATATACTTTTTATGTTATAGTGAACAACGATTTTGTCTGCTGTGTGACCACAGTAACATAAACGATGTAGTATTAGTTTCATGATATTCTGTTAGTTATCATGCAGCGATTGCATTTGAAATACATACATACCTGCAATATAGCACATAAACTTACAAATGTGATCGACCTATCCTTATTTGAGTAAGAATTCGACTAAATGAACCAAACTGGACAGTAATGTTCACATCAAATGAAAAGAAATTCAAAACAAATCGAATCGAAGTTTGTTTCCATGTACCACTTACTTCCGGGATCATTATGAATCCTACGGTGATCAACGATAGAATGAGGTTGACGCCAAATATCCAGCGCATGAATATGAAGTAAGACGCCACAACGGATCCGAAGTGACCTGTAACAGAACGCCTTTTACGACTGACCAAAATAATTGTTTACGACAACTTATAGCGATTTCCTCTTCAGGTCGATTAATCCCCCAAAAATGTTAAAGAGTAACGTTTATCATTAATGATGAGTAATTACCAACTGCTGTCCGAATGATACATAATGTGACGAACAGTTTAATTGCTTTGACACGGCAATTCAATTACTCACTATATGGTTCGATAGTAGTTTCAGTTATAACTTTAAACGTAGCTGGTTATACGTACTCTCTGTCCTTTTTATCCGCATTTCCCATGGAATAAAGAGGGCGAAAAAATTCGTTGCTTCGCGTTTAAACATTCTCCAAAACTGAAACGAAAGTAAGAATAAACATTCGAAATAGTTCAGACGCTTACACCAATTCTGATGCAATATTTATTAGTAGTCTAAATTATTCTGTTAATCAATGTGGAGTAGAAAATAACCTTTACCCATGATCAAGATTGGCCAAATAGAGTCGCCTTTTAGAGCAGTGCTCCAATTTCAGAAAAGAACCCTGATCTTGCAATTTATTACCTAAGACTAAAAACTGCACATTACTAGTACTTTGCTAATTGATAAATCTGCTGTTACACATTGAACCGCACTCCAGAAATTTGCTAGGTAACATTTGCCTGGCTTCGACAGGCGACAGCAATTTTACTCAAATGTTTTCTTCACAGAGATGGAGATGCATACCTTGCTTTTTTCACACTTTGCTAAGCCAGAGAAGAATTTCATCAGCCTGTGTTAAGTTATAAGAATGATGTAATTTTTTCTTCAGTCAACAGCTACTTTAGGTAAAACCTATCACAATATTAGCTGTTGACTGAAGAAAAAAATCACATCACACTTTGCTTAATATTTTAAAAAAAATAGAGATGGGGGGCGGGACTCATGAGCTTGGAGAGCTTAGAATATAGAGCTTCAATTAGAGTCGAAAGTATCGGGACAAGTATATGGGACCAATGTCACCTGTACAAAAGTAAAGGAGAAGGGTCTACGGTTCCCAGCGGACTTCAATTCATGTCGCCGTTATTGAAGAGATATATTGTGCGGGACATTGTTGACGTCAGTATTATGAGAAGCACGGTGAATATACCTGTAGTAAACCATATGACAGCTATTCGGCGTACTTACTTTGGCTCCAGCCTCTTGGTAACCATGGCTACGAGACAGCCGTCCTTCATACTTCTCAACATACGACTTGGCTAGTCTACAATGAAAGGTAATAAAGATGGTTCATTCCACCAAAAGCAAGCTTTCAGTAACGTCAGTGATACACACATTTTGTGTAATATGAACATTATATTGACTTGCCCTATTTCTTTCGCTAATTTATGCTACAGTCCCCCATTCCCCCGCTTTGAAGAGATTTCAGCAATATTTAAAAGGTATCGATGTAAAGCAGTGCTAATAAAATTGCCAATTTGGACACAAAACGTGCAAGTCAGTGACTTGTCTCAAATGTTTTGCTTTTAGTGGAATGATCTAGATGTGAAAGAGGCATGTACATGAAGTAGTGCGTGTATCAAAAGGGCGCTTTTTCTGCGTTCAGTGTTAATCAAAGGTATGCCATTGTGTTAGGTGTTAGATGGGATCATTGCACGCTGTAGGCAATAACAGGGGAGTGGTAGTTGCCACAGCAAAATAGGCATGCGAATATGTTAGGAGAGAAAATCCTTACTGTAATGTTTTTAGTTTCCGTCTCATCCGCCAGGGTTGTGTTCTGATGCTCTCAATGATGTCCTTCTGGAGCTTGATATTTTGAAAAATCTCCTCCTCCGTCGACTCGTCCTGATTTTCCTTATATAGTCGCATGTAGTCTTCATTTTCACTACAATTCAACAACAAGGTTTACAGAAATTAATATACGCAATTTCTGTATTGGTAAAGGGATGGGGAGAAAATGATGGGCATATAGTATTCAATAAAATGTCATGTGTGGCCTTGTATGATACGCTTCGCCAGTTTTATTTATTTATTTATTTATTTATTTATTTATATTAAAGGGAGAATGGGGTGCCCCAGAAGCTGTGTCCTCCCCCGACCCGCCTCTGTGTATAATGTACCTATTCAACTTCAAAACGACTCATATGCTTCTCGCCAACTATGTTGTTCTAGGGAGAGAATAATGCTGTAGCCATATATCTTCTAAAAAATAGGTAGGTGCTGTTGAAATTTTTATAGCTTAACTTAGTCGATTTTTATCTTTTTGTTACGCAGTGCAAACTAAAAAAAAAGAATAAGGCCCTCTCCATATCGAGCATTAAATCTAACTGATACAGTCTGCACCGGTAAACTTTGAGAAGACCTTACATGTAATATACGCTATAGGAGTTTTATTCCCTTTCCCAAAGTTGCTTCTTGCTATCAGAGCAACTCCCTTAGGAAACCCCCTTACGTAACAGCTAGGCGATCTTTCAAAGCGCACCGGTATAGACTATAAAGTAAAATATACCGTTCAGTGTAGAAAGGCCCTAAGTACGAACATATGCTTTCTTTAATAATTTACCAAAATAATATGTTCACCTTGAAAACATTTATATTAATCACTTAATGTAACTTCGTTTAACGTTCTTGCTGAATATTGCATGTGCTGGTTGTTTGCTTTTACAGAGCAGCCTTCTTTGTAGAATTGTATATTTGCGTGATGCCAAAGCTGGCATCAATCCTTGTCATACACTGACAATAGGTTGAGTTACCTGAAAGCGTTTTTCTAGAAATGATCTGGATAAGCTAACATTTAGATCAGTTTTTTTTTATTATTTCGAATAACTGAACTACATTATCTGAGGACAATTTGAATCGGATACCGTTTGGAAATGCTTTAAAAGTTTATGGGGTTTTTGTGCCACAAAGATAACTCATTCGCCGGTGTAATATAATATTATTGTAGGATTCTAGAACTTCCTGGCCATCACTTCACGAAGTTCTGCATTCAAATTTACATTATAGTGAACGATTTCATTGAGCTATTCACATGTACATCGCGCGAAAATGACAAATTACCAGAGATAGTGTATTATAATGGTCTAAGAATTATGAACATGCCTTTGACAGTCAAATGCACACACAGTTGTTGATTAAGAAAACAGGAGAATATTAAAACAGCTGAAGACCATGCTACGTCTCCTAAATCCACACACTTGGATATGTTCTACATGTCGAAAAACCAAAAATAAACCTTCTTTATATGCACTGTATAACTGCCTAAAACATAATAATATTGTACATGAAACATCAACCGATGGGTAAACTAACCCGATTTTTAATCCATTTTACCTGAAAAAACATTGATTTTGCAATTTACTCTGTCAGTTTATGTGTGGAGGAGTAATGAGAACGTTAACATAGTCCAGCGCGTCCAATCACCTGTGTAGTTGAAGGAGACGGCTCTTTTGTGATGTTCTCTTAAGGGGTCCTTAATGGATGGGTGTTTTAACCGGTCATGTATGCTTGCGTGCAAATCGCGTGTAGGAAAAACAAAGCTGTAGTCTGGAAATCTGGGAATTCATATTTCCAGCGCTCGTGCAATGTTCAGACTCTTATTTTTTAAGACTTTCGCAGTATAAAAATGGCTGCAGAAACATTCATTGATTCGTCGCTGAAGCGTGCTATTATAAAAGTTCTGTCGCACGCGGAGGTAGCAAGATTTTATTGGGTTGAAATAGTGGAGCATCTCCTTGTGGGGAATAAAAAGACATACGCGTGGATTCAGATACCCGAATTTTTGACAAAGTTTTGAAATCTTCTGTTATTTCTATCTAGACATTCAAGTTGTCCGTTATCTCTATCTAGACCTAAAATGGGTTGAGTTTCATATGTGTCTGCACGAATAATAATGGCGTGCCATTTGTTAGCCTCACAGCGTGTCAAGTTAGTGAAATTTCCTAAATTTCCTCATCGAAGTTCATTTCAATTTTATTCAAAGTTAGGTAGCCTTAATTGTTTGAAATATAAACTTCCTTGTCGTCTGTTTAATTGTTTGAAATATAAACTTCCTTGTGTCATCGTTTGAAGCTTTTGAGGGCATGCAGGAGATAATCTCGTATAAAGCAAAGCGAATTAGGTGATTGGTCACCATATACCACATTAAGAAAAATTAAACTGCATAAGTTGTCGAATAAACACCCGCCATCAAGATCACCATCAGAATCATTTAATGACCATAGATAACAAGTAATTCATTCAAATCCAACGTTATTAAGCAATGATTATGCGTTTAGAATGGGGAGAAGTGGAGAAGTTGGCATTGAGCATGGAGAGAAAAGTAACGAAAACGTGTTTGCAAATCTGTGGTGGCGCCAACGAATTGCCGCCTTTATCTTTCAAAGCTTCAGCGCTATGACACTGTGTCAAATGAAAAAATATTTCTATTCAAAATTCCTTGGTAAAATAGTCTAACAGGACCCTATAACAGGCATTTTAATATGGTTGGTATTTTCAACATATATTTTGTCTACCCTTTTCTTTCATGCATGGTGCATTTTATTGTATTTAAAGAAATATTCCATGGCCAGCTACATGTTTCATCTACAATTATTTATGTACAGACGCTGGCATAGGCATCTTATCTTTAAAAGAAACAAACATTAAGCTCACCTCCCTTTGTCTCCTTTAGGTAACAACCTCTGGCGTCGCATAAATTCATGGTTTTCCAAGCCAGGAACGATACCGCGCCTACTACTGGGCCTCCTTCGCTTGCTCCCTTTCTTGGAACTGAGCTTTCTCCGTCTAATTAAGTTATTTAGATTTTGTCCAAGAAGTGGGTCATCATTGTCTTCAATTAAAGACACGTCATTGACTGACAGGGTTTTTGACTTTGATTCGTCATATGTATGCTCAATGCCATGGGAATTTGCTGTTATACTTGTAAAAGATGGTTTCACTTCAATTCTTGGCGTCGCTTTGATTCTTTGCAGGGGAATCTGTTGAGGAAGGGCATGGTTGTGGTTTTTCTTAACTTTTTCTTTCGTGTCTGAATCTGTCTCGTTCCAGCCACGAGCCTTTAAGATGAAATTGTCGTCAAATTGTCTCCCTGTTTCAGATGTTATTATGACGCTTTGGTTTGAGTTCGACTTACTGTGGCGGGTGGCACTTTCTGATCGCCTGCTGTCTGAGTCGCTTCCCGCGTCGTAATCAGGTTCCAGTTCAAATGTTTCGTTGTCATAGAACATCTTTTGGTCGTCTGCAGTTAACATAAGTCAGTCGTTATCAAACTTCCAAAATCAATCATTATAAATGAACACACACTCAAAAGTTAATTTTTATATAAATCATTGATAAGTTAAACTAAAATTCAGAATTCAAAGTTTCAGAGGTTGGGCGAAATCCAATCACTTGAATCTCGAAGAACCGCTGGCTACTGGTAAGCCCACTATGTACTTTTGTAGCGTGGATGCATTAAATAAAATACATGTATCTTGGGTTATATTTTGTTAAATAATGTTGAACTGAGGTGATTCGAAAATAATTCAAGGGAGTGATTAACATCGGGCCATCGCCTTATGTAAAGAAAAATACACAAAAACAACCTTAATATGTTAATATTTACATACATATCTATAGAAACGTACCTTCAGCAGTGTTGAGGAACGCCATCTGTGGTAGTGTCGTCGAAGCTTTACTGCATCTTCGTCAAGAATTAGTCCTAGGTGGCAAAACAATGGGGTATTTCAAACTTAAGTAAAATAATAACACATAAAAATTCTAGCACCAGAAATTTATTTCAAGCTCTGTCCGAACGTGGTCAGCATGGGACTAGCGCAGGTTGTTTGAAGTAGGTCGCCCTGGCAACAAAGCGGAGATCTGTCGCCCTGAATGTAAGTGGTTGATGAATAGCTCTTCCAGTACTTTTGCGTTAAAGCGTACACCGATAATCTATACAGAGTGAGTCCCCTCTGATCAACAGGGTGCATTGGTTTTAAACGTGGAGAGGAAACCCACCACCTGCCCCATTTTACTACACACATTATCAATCAAGCGGTGCCAGGACGAGGTGAGAACGAAAAATTAATGTCCTTTTTGTAAGGCACAAAGAAAATCTCTGCGAAATCGATACATTTTTATATTGCTATGCTTGCCTAAATTTATCCTTAAGTGTACTTGACAATATCGATGATACATGGTAGTTTGCAAATTATGTGGGCGTTAAGAAGTTGATTAAAAACGAATAAGTATCTCAACGTGTGTTGTTGGTAATTTTAATTAATTTTAATTTAATTTTAAATTTTAATGTAAAAGGCACGTGCCCCCGATGGTCTGTAGTTTTTGCATGCCATGCTATTAGCTCCGCGTAACCGAAATAATGTATATATAGTTAAATGAAAAAAAAGAAAGTCTTAAATGGAACACTCATCAGTAATAGATTTTACCACTTTTAATGTTCTCAAATATTTGCCAATGCATTACGTATTCAACTATTGAAAAGTGGATATTTTTAATCACGTTTTCTTTTTCGAAAAATTGATTGGGTTACATGTGTTTGTTTTGTTAATGTAAAAATCATGTATTTAAGACAAGGCTTATCATCATTTAGGTAAAAAAAACCTTGGCAACACGGTTTTACGGTTTCACAAACACTTACTTTCATCTTTCAAAATGCAAACACTTGAAAACTACGTTTATATTAGAAGGGCTTCTTTTATTTCATCATTGCCCAGCTTCAACTTTAGGGCATATTCTGGTAGATTTCTAACTGAGCTGTAGCCAGAGTGATACAAAAACAAGTATTCATTTTTATTTGTGTTCTTATCTTACTACTATACTAGGTAGTGTGTTGTTAATGGGATATTGACCATTCCGATGTACAGGCCTAATGAAAAAATTACTTTATCCAAAAACGTTTGATTAAAGAAATGGTTGGGAAAAATCTCATAATCACTAAATCATGTTTGGGATCGTATGTACGACTTACCGCTTACTTCGACAGATTACCTGGCTGTGTAAAGCGATGAAATGCTACTTGTCTCACACAAACAAAAAATCAGTGTCTATATAAACTGATTTTTGTAATGGCTTTTATCCTGTATTTGAATATCTGCTTTGTCTCTTCCTGTGCTCATCCGCTGTTTTTCTTCAAAAATCTCCCAGCATGACCACGAAGATGAAAGGTGAAAAATATTATTCGTGAAAAAAATGATTGATTCAGTGTTCACTTCAATAGCCTGAAGTATTTTGTTTCAAAGCTGGTAGGCTGAGAGATATACTAAAGTTCAGTGAAAAAATTTGCCTTCGACATTCTCATTGTTTTTTTTTCACCGATCTAATTCTATATCTTTATCCTTAAATCCAACATCCTCTTGATTTCGTTCTTGGATTTTTCCCAGTGGTGGGAAATTGCACACACCCTTTATTAAGCCATTGCTCATTTTGTTTTTAATATTCTCACTTGTCTTGGCTTTAACTGCACTTAATACTTTGTGTCAATGTATCGATATGAGCCGTAAAGGGCGGTTTTCTGGCAAACTATTCATTTGTTGTCAGGGAGAGAGAGGCGTGCTTACAGAGATAAGAGGGCATAATGGAATGTTTGGCGGTTCGTTTGTTAATTACAAGAGCTATAATCGGAAATATATTTACCAGACCAAGACCGAGAAGATTTTTTTCTAACATTCACGCCGTGATTAAGTGAATGACTCTAATATACATGTATGCTACAATCTCAGCTCCACCTTCAACTGTCCTGACATTGCGGTAAGCTTTGTTAAATAAGGCAGTTCTCTATATTACATGACCCTTTTGTCACAGTATAAAATCTATTTTAAAATTTGCAGGTTATGGACTGTTATTTTTCTTCAAAAACATTATGTACAGCTGAGATGTGATAAAACAAAAGTTTGTCTACTATCGAATTCGTTATTCTTCATTTATGGGTTTATCTTAAACTGAGGTAGACCATTTTTATCTAAAAGTTTTGATCCATTTTCGGGCTGCAATTATTTTGAGAAACCATTCTCCGAAAGGTATAATATGTTGGGGGATGGGAGGGGGGCGACAGAAAACACTGTTTACAGTGAGTGGAAATTCGCACGCAATATAATCATGCGGTATTTATTTAAATGTCATCTCACCGTACGTAGTATTGCATTGTTTTGACTAGTTAACTGGCTTTAGTAATTAAGACGTTTATCAACGTTCTCGGCTACCCTCTAAGGCTAAACAGTGCATATATAACTTTAATTGGGAGGAATTGAATATAAAGGCTCTCGTTGATAGGATACGAATTCAGGTGACTGACAATGATGAAGTCATCTTGAGGTGAATAATTCTTGGAACTCATCTCAGTTTTTGCTTTTGTTTAATTTCATGATCGAAGTCCATTAATCAAATCATTTCTCGCCATCCCATCACTAGCATCGTTAATACAAGAGATTTTACATGGAGAAATGATTCAGCCTTGGCAACAAATTTTTTTTTTTTTTTTTTTCGGTCATTTAGTTTTCTTCTTAATTCCGTTTAACCCACAAAAATAGGTGATTGAAAGGTTTTCGAGGTAATGGTATTTCTGCACGCCCACCCTAACTGAACTGCCTTGATATTAAACACTCCCCTTATTCTCCACCCTGAGTAATACCCTTGACTCTCCTTACGCCGTTCAAAAAATCAAACTGATATTCAGGGTGCTGTGTTCATAAGCACGCACATAGGCCCACCGGGGAAAGTACTAAAATAACCGCACTACCGTTAATCAGTGCTCCTAAACGATGCAATGTTGATATTTTAGCCTTTTTGATCGGGATCATTCCACTAATCATCTCACCTCTTCTGATTATCAAAGCTGAAGCAAAATTACATCAATGGTTAAACAAAAACGATTTTCAAAGACAGTGGTTCGATATTTGGAACAGTGTATGTTATAAAAGTAAAAAAAAAAAAATGATTCAATTTACTCATCCTGTTCTGAATCATCCACCACCACCGATATAAAAAAAAAATAAAATAAATAGATAAAAAAAAATACAAAAAAAACATTCCATTTTTGTTTAACAAACTGCACAGAGCATGCTCAATTTATAAACTGCCAAGGTTTGGAATACGAAAAAGGATTCACTTACGAAGAACCAAGTTGATGCTAAATTGACACGTTAGGTAATACCGTAATGATCTTTATTCTTTAAGATAACATGTCATGCATGAAGCACTATATATATATACAAACTTTTTAAGTTACAGCAACCAACTCTAAGACATCCTATGGTCCCTTATAAAAATTGCAATACTGAAAGACGAAAACCAAGCACTTCATAATTATATCTATTGCAGGTTTCTGTTCCCTTGAATTGAAAACATGACTTACTTATAAACTGGCCTTAGGCAATTGCACAAAAATTCAAATATCTCAAATTCCACAGTGAATGAAAGCAAAAATATCATATATTCTCATCTCAATTTTGCATTTGAATCATGGTGAATTTTAGTCAATAAATGACAACCTACTTGCATCTGATTTCTCTACATCAACTTGTACCAATGAACCAATGTGAGCACAGTACCAATATATCAACTTAAAAAGCAATAAAGGATAATTTTCCAAATGAGTTCTTTCAAAATATCCCTGCCATACAAATTCACTAAGTTTACCCATTCTCTAGAATTACAATAATAATTGCCGATACCCTTATCATTCATTTAATACAAGTGGAACTAAAGGATTTACTGTAAAAAAAAAAAAAACTGACACAATATCTAGATTATGACAAAATATTTTAAATGTTTTATACACTGAACACTTGGAACAAAATCAGGTGGTAGGGTTAAAAAGAATTGCCCTTTTGGGAGAAAAAGATCCACTTTGAATCAAAATTTGGTCCAGGTTCTATGCAATTCCTCATGTTGGATCAACTAAGGGGGTAAAAAGTCCACAAGCTTAAACCACATTTGAAATTGTTGGTTTTAGGCCTGTGTTATTTATGTCAAACATTATCCCAGTATGTCTTGCCCTACTCCAGGCAAGTATTATTATCATGGGGTATTCCACAGTAATTTCTCTCTTTGTACTTTTGGGATCGTTATGTTTCTCCAACATCTTATTTTCCTTCCAGTTAAATTTAAGACAGTTAATCTGCAATGTGGTTGCTTCTAACATAAATATCTAATCAGAGAGATGAATAAATGAAAAAAAGGAAATGACAGAGGGTAAAATATGTTGCAGATATAAAAGATCAAAATCTTATGCTTTTTGTATACAAAAACATGACTCTTCAAATTTGAAGTAAAAGAATGACCCAATCATAATTAAAACGACTAGAATATCCTATCAAAATGTTGGTCCATGCTTGCTGCAGGTTTAGCAACAGGCTGCTGCTGGTGTGGTCCAGCTCCACGCCTCCTAGGGGGCGCCAGATACTCAAACATGGACATAGTATGCTGGGACAGCATTTTACCCAGCTCACAAGGACGTGGGTCTGTCCAGAAAAAATCATGGTCCAGTGCTCGGTCACCATCGATACGTTTGGTTGGGTCCAGTGTGAGCAACTTATCCAGTAAGTCCAAGGCATATTGGTCTTTAATGTAGGCTTTCAGGCGATCCTTCACTTTACGTTTTTGGTCCTTTGGTAGCTCCATTTTGGTATAAAGTTCGTATTTTTCCACATCAGGCCATACTTTTGTTGTGATAGAACCACAAAGCTGTGTGATTAGCTGTAGTTGGCGTTGCTCAGTGTCACCTTGCATTATGGGACTTCTCGTCCACATTTCTGCCATGATACATCCCGCCCCCCACATGTCAATAGCTGGTCCATAATCCCTTTCACCAAGCAAAAGTTCTGGGGGGCGATACCATAGAGTAACAACACGATTGGTATATCTCATTGGCTGGCCTTTGTTGTTAATACTGAAAGCTCTTGCAAGTCCAAAATCAGCTAATTTCAACTGTCCTGATTTTGTTATCAGAATATTAGCTGCTTTCATATCTCTATGAAGCACTTTGTTACTGTGGATGTAATATAATCCATTGAGCAGTTGCTGCATAACTTTCTTGATTTCCCCCAAGGTGAACTTCACATTGGAATTACTAAGAAGTCCTGCTAAGTCATGTTCACAGAATTCAAATACCAGGTAGAAAGTACTCTTGAATCTGTTGTAGGGTGTGGCTGGAAAACAGAGAGACAAATCATAAGTATTCTGCAAAAAGATAGCGATTGTTGGGCACATGACATCTCATAAGAAACTGAATAACTTTTTAAAAGTACTTGCAATGGAAGGTTTACCACTAGCTAGGATAATTTCAGAGCATATTTACACTGAATATTGTTGGAAAAAAAATATAAAGTCATTTGAGGGTTCTTTTGAATTATTTTCTTCCTTAATTCCTGATAACTTTTCATTTACCTTTACTCCTACAAATTTCAATTAAATTAACAACATTTTCATTCTTCAGAAGCTGCAAAATCTTAATCTCTCTCAATGCTGTGATGGGAAACTGAAATGTTAAAAAGTTTATAGTCAGTATAGTCAGTGCTCATGGCACACTTTACATGGGTGAGGAGCTTGTGCCACAGGACAATACATGAGCATTTTAAAAATGTTTTTCAAATATAAGGCTGTGCTTGGTAAAATGATAAGACATACCATGTAAGAAAATATCTTATCTTTTTCCTTTTAACATCTTTTAAAGTAAGCCATAAGATTTTTTTAAATAAAGAGGCAATACTTATTTTTTTCAATTTCTAATCTATCCTGAGAAAAGTCTACATATTACATGGCCTTACCCCTTCCTTTTCATTTTCCATAAGAACTTTTTTGAGGGCGACCAAGGTTTTTGTTTTCCTGTCACGAGCTTTAAACACTTCACTGGAATATTAACACGAACATGTATTGCAGCAATATGAAGATGACTTAGTGTCATTTAACAATAGAATTTATCAAATAATATCTAACAGAAAATTACTTTAGCTTTAATCTCTAGCATGCACCAGACTGCTAAAATAAGTAAATAAATAAATAAATAAATAATTAAATAAATAAATAAATAAGATATTCATCCCCTCTTACCCAAGATAGTTCCACTCCATAACATACACGCAAGCACACACACATAAATATTCACATAAATTCATTAATGTACACAAATACAATTACATACTACTGGTATATAATTTAATTATAATTCATGATATATGCATTAACACAAACAGTGTCACAGTGTGAAATTTGATTTATTATTATTATTATTATTATTATTATTATTATTATTATTATTATTATTATTTCCGATGATATAAAGATTCTACTCCCACCAGCTAGAACAATTAAACTGAATATTTCACAAGATAGTTCCACTGAAACCAATAATCCAAAGGATTTTTTTCAAATAAGGCAAAGACAGTAAAAGCGAAGAAATAGAACAAAGAAGCTAAACGTGGTCGAAATGAATGAATGGACCACAACAAAAACGTATGCACACGTAAAAAACCGGATGTTGTCTTGCATATCTGTTGTATCCCTTACCCAAAGGTCCCCTGTCCAATTTTGGCCAGCTTCTCGTATTTATTAACATCTTGGCAGTAGGGAAATTCAAGGTCTTCTATCTTGCTCATGTTCTTCTCTGCCTCGGAAAAAAAAGGCACGCTGCACTAACTTCCGGTTGGCAGATGCACATATAGTGATGACGTAATCATCGCTTCGTCTGCTTTCTCGCCCCAACCAGTGGTTACGTTTACTTCCTGGTAGCAAAGGGAAATCGCGTTGATACGTCGGTATCACACTACCTGTAAGATATAGGGATGCAGAAACGAGCGCAGGCTAAAGTTAAAGAACAGGTAGCCAAAATAACAGTTCATGAAATGAGAATATTGTAGACTTAGACATGAAAATTTTTTATCCAAGCCTACGTAAATCACCCTTCAGAGATAATTTGACACGATGAAGATAGGCTATAGTGAAGAGGTTAGCCTAGTGTCAAGTTATCTCTGAAGCTCAGGGTGACTCCCGCAAACCTCCGGCAACATTTATGGGGATACTCCTCATTTGCGTGATAAAATGGGGCAGGCCTACTCCCGGACACAATTAAGCGAGTCATAAAACTTTTCAGAAACATGTTTTTTACACCTTACACAACTAAAACAGTAAACTTGTAAGTCAACTTGTAAGTCTTAAACACAAATTAAATTTGAGTTCATTGTGTATCGCATAACTAAACAACACATGTATACATAAAAAATATAGCCAATATCCAAATATATTTATATAATTAGGCTAAAAAACAATGCATTGTTTCCCCCATAAAAGTGGAAAGATCTTAAAAACTGAAAAAAGTTGATAATTAACTTACATATGGAAAATGTTGATACAAACAGATCAGTGCAAAGAAAAAAAAACATTGTATTAATCTTGTTCTTGGAATTGTTTTATCAAATGTGAATGCACACGATTAGCCTAAAAGAGATTGGGTGAGCCTTGTTAACTTCACACATACCCTACATTTTACATATACGAGGGTTATATCAGCGCAAAGATCTTTAAAAAAAGCGCGCTGCCGTGTTGTGTAGTTAGCCTAAACAAAAAACCCTTACGATTTTGTTATGCCCTGTCAATCACACCCTATATCCATAGATTTTTAGATCGATCTATCCCTGTGGGGAGTCTCACTAGATTACTGTCAGCTTGGCCGGCTTAAGCGTCTGTCCCGCCTACTAAAAGCTGTAAGGGGGTAATTAACCATGGTGCCCGCTCGGCTGACTACAATTTAGCGTGAACCCCCTGGGAGTTAGGTCGATCTAAAACTTAATCTTTAGATCGATCTAAATCTCTGGGAAAGCACCCTCAGTCACGCACTTCGCATAATAATACATAAAAGATTATCCGTGGAATAAGTATCACTATATCAGTTAGGTGTCAAGATACATGAGTTATTATTTCGTGCCCTGTCAATAAGTCATCCATTCAATCGGTGTAATGCGACGATTTTGTTTGTCGATCCTTCACAAAAAAGATTTACAGAGAAACTCAACGTGTCTCGAAACAAAGTTTAAAAGAATGTCAAAGATGGTCAAACAGTTACAGGCCCGAGTTAATCATACGTTCAGGGTTTAAAAAAAGATAGTGATGATATAATCCAATTACTCAGTTAGACCTCTAATCGCCATTTCGATAAATGGAGATGGGCGAAACATCCCTACTGTATCATGTCCATGAACATATCACTCGTTGTGCAATTCAAAACATCAAACGCGTTACCTTGTTTTATCAAATGTGAATGCACACCATTAAACGAGATTGGGCCTTGTGAATTTCACACATACATTTTACACATACAAGGGTTATATCAGCGCAAAGATCTTTAAAAAAGCGCGCTGCCGTGTTGTGTAGTTAGCCTAAAAAAACCCTTACAATTTTGCAATGCCCTGTCAATTAGTCACGCACTGTGCATAAAATACAGAAAAGATGAGCGTGGAATAAGTATCACTATATCAGTTAGGTGTCAAGATACATGAGTTATTGTTTCATGTCCTGTCAATAAGTCATCCATTCAATCGATGTAATGCGACGATTTTGTTTGTTGATCCTTCACAGAAAAGATCTACAGAGAAACTCAACGTGTCTCGAAACAAAGTTTAGAAGAATGTCAAAGATGGTAAAACAGGCCCGAGTTAATCATACGTTCAGAGTTTTAAATTTGGACCTCAAATCGCCCTTTTGATTTGTGAAGATGGACCAGAAGAAACATCCCTACCATATCATGTTCATGAACATATTATTCGTTGGCCAATTCAAAACATCAAAAGTGTTACATTGTTTTATCAAATTTGCATGCACACCATTAAACGAGATTGGATGAGCCTTGTTAATTTCACACATGCATTTTACATATGCGAGGGTTACGTCAGTGCGAAAGTCTTCTTTGAAAAACACGTTACCGTGTTGCGTAGATAGCCTCAAAAACCCGTAAGATTTTGCTATGCCCTGTCAATCAGTCATGCATTTTGCATAGAAATACAGGAAAAGATGAGCCGTGGAATAAGTATCACTTTATTAGTTAGGTGTCAAGATACATAGGTTATTGTATCATGTCCTGTCAATAAGTCATCCACTCAATCGATGTAATACGACAATTTTGTTTGTCGATCCTTCACAGAAAAGTTTTACAGAGAAACTCAACGTGTCTGGAAACAATGTTTAGAAGAATGTCAAAAAGTTCAAACATACCCGGGTTAATCATATATTCGGGTTTTTAAACAAGATAGTTATGATATTAACCAATTACTAAGGCCTCTAATCGCAATTTTCTCAAGAGGAGCTGGACCAGAAGAAACATCCCTACTATATCATGTCCATGAACATATTACTCGTTGGCCACTGTAAAACATCTAACAAGATTGGACAAGATTGGGCCTTAATGATTTCACACATACACGTTGAATTTACGAGGGTTACACTAGCGCGAAATATTTCTTTTAAAAAACGCATTACCGTGTTGCATTGTTAGCCTAATAAAACCCGTAAGATTTTGCCACGGCCTGTCAATCAGTCTCGCATTTTACATAGAAATACGGAAAAGATGAGCCGTGGAATGCGAGGGTTACGTCAGTGTGAAAGTCTTCTTTGAAAAAACGCGTTACAGTGTTGCGTAGTTAGCCTCAAAAACCCGTAAGATTTTGCCATGCCCTGTCAATCAGTCACGCACTGTGCATAGAAATACAGGAAAGATGAGCCGTGGAATAAGTATCACTATATCAGTTAGGTGTCAAGATACATGAGTTATTGTTTCGTGTCCTGTCAATAAGTCATCCATTCAATCATATCGATGTAATGCGATGATTTTGTTTGTCGATCCTTCACAAAAAAGATTTACAGAGAACTCAACGTGTCTCGAAACGAAGTTTAAAAGAATGTCAAAGATGGTCAAACAGGCCCGAGTTAATCATACGTTCAGGGTTTGAAACATGATAGTCATGATATAATGCAATTACTTAGACCTCTTATCGCCGTTTCGATAAATGGGGATGGAACAGACGAAACATCCCTACTATATCATGTTTATGAACATATCACTCGTTGGGCAATTCAAAACATCACACGAGGTACCTTGTTTTATCAAATTTGCATGCACACCATTGAACAAGATTGAGCCTTGTTTATTTCACACGTATACATTTTACATATACCGGGGTTTTTATGTTTCCTGCAGTAAAAATATACAGAGGACCTTTCAAGTTGTGTTTGTCACAACTGATATATTCAAGAAAGATCCCTAAAATTTGGAGGAGTAAGGCTTTTTGTTACTTCTCCAAGCCAAAATGGTATTTCAGAGAGGTTGGAAAAGAATGAATGGTGTAAACCCTTTATCTTCTTTAGACTGTTGGAAAGCTACGGCAGTGATGTGGGACTACCTGGAATCTTCCCGATTCCTGATAGGCCCGCATCTTTGAAAACGCACTTAAGACTTAACAGTTAGCAGTTAGCCGAGGCAAAACACCCGTGATGGTTTGCAATGATTTTACAGAGGACCAATCAACAATAAGAAAAACCTGAGTGATGCATTTCGATTGTGGACTACCTCTAAAAATCTCTATCTTTCCACTAGATAGAGACTTTCCACTAGATATACACAATAAACATTTATTTTTCTGGCAAATTCTGTGCAAAAAGCTGAATGGACGATTTGGGGTTAATTAAGCTGTCACTTAGGACCTAACACTGTTTACTCACTTGTGATCAAATTTATAACAAAATGCAGTGCAGGCGTTTTTTTTTTAATTACCCAACTATGGGCAGAATACTTGAACAGATTTTGCACGTTTCATTTACTTGAATGTAAAATGGAATCTCGTGTAAGTTCTCTCACTTATTCGGCCTCGTCACTGTAATAAAACAAAACGCTTTGGATGCATGATAAGCTACGTTTTGTTTTATGTTTTTTTTCCTGGTTTTGTTAAAATATTATCAAGATAAAATGTACAATATGTCACTTTGCTTTCAAACTCAAATATTTATTTTCATGGCATGTTTTTTATTTCTTCCAAGACCTCTATTGCCTATATTCTTTACTTTTCACTGCCAGTGGTAATACGAAGGCAACCAGACGAGACTGGATACCCGGGAATGAAGGAGAGCTTCTTGATTGCTCACAGAAATGAGAAAAGGGAACAAGGCCCTTTTCTAAGCAGGTTCTTTGCTTTTTATACGATGAAAAAGATGTGAAAATGTGTCACAATGTCACTCTGTAACATATGCTTCAGTTTAAAAAGAGAGAACTTTTGAAACTCGAGTCCCCCCATAAACTTTACACAAAACCATTGTGTTGGCCACCTGAGTACATATACATATACATACCTATACAAACATATACCGGCGGTATTATTGTACATTAAAACTGAATAAACGCATATATGTATAAGGCATCATTCAGAATAGGGGACTAACTAGTCAGAGGGTCAAATATGGCCGACCCACTTGAATACTTCCCCACGGCGAATCTATACTGTGTCTATTAGCAGGTTTAGACGGCCGGTTTTGTAGTGGGTAGCCGTATTTGAACCTTGAACTAGCAATTCCCCTCTGAATGGGGCCTAATATTATTACATTACATTTCAAATAAATGGGTTCGTACTTGGTTATGGTAAAATATTACTTCTCGA